CGAGACCTCAGACTCTGAACCCGAGGAAATTGAGACATGCCGTCTCTCAAAAGACATGTCGGTAAGGCCTCTCCATCTACTTGGGCTGCCGACACTGGCGCCTCCTCCACATGTCTGACCAACCCTCATTGTTTAGACGAATGATCAAGATCAAGCGAAGACTAGTTCGGGTTGGAGGGGGAGAATTATATGCAGACTGGAAAGGAGAAGCTCAAGTGGTGTGTAAAGACGGATCGTCGACATGGTTGTCAGAAGTACTGCTTGTACCTAACCTTGGAGTCAATTTGTTATCAGGGAGAAGAATTTGCGCAGCAGGCCTGAAGGGTCGTTTCAATTCACACGTACTATGCTTCAAACTAGGAAAGGAGATCATTATTAAAGCAACTATGGACGACGGCCTCTACGTAGTGTCACACATTGCCGATGGATACCACGAGACAGCATTCCTAGGCACGGAACCCCATACACCAGTTAAGAGCGAGCTTAAGGTTAATGAAAAGGAGAGATACCTGCTGTATCACAGACGTTTCGCACACCTAGGACCTACAAAGATTGCCAAACTCCACGAAGTTACAACTCTCCAGAAGAAGATTCAAGTTCCAGAGAAGATTGAAATCTGCGAAGTGTGTTCCCTGACAAAGATGAAGAACAGCATCCCTAAGCAGCTAAGAGAGCACAAGGCCACGAAGCTAGCCTTAGTACAGTTTGACATTGCTGGACCCTTTCCAACATCTCTACGAGGAAACAGGTGGTTCCTCCAAATTATTGATAGCTACACGCGGAAAAACTGGGTTATCCCGCTGAAGAAAAAGGGAGACGCACAACGGGAACTCCGAATCTGGAAGACCTTTGTAGAACATCAAACTGGCGAGAAAGTCAAAGCTGCTGGAACCGACAATGCACCAGAACTTCTACAGCAAGCTGAGGAATGGAGAGTTACACAAGGCGTGGAAATTCAGCCTACAACAATTGCTTCCTCACACCAGAATGGACCAGCCGAGCGAAACATCCAAACTGCTGAAGCTGATATGAGAGCAATGTTGAAAGACGCTGGTTTACCAATTGAGTTTTGGGATGAAGCTGTCGAAGCAGACGCATACCTACGCAACCGTACAAACACAGGACCTATGATCAATGGAAAGCAAGTCAGTCCTGAAGAGGCATTCACAGGAACGAAACCATCCATTGACCACATCCGTGTATGGGGGAGCAAATGCTATTCGTACATCAACCCTAAAACGATTCCAGCAGACCAACGACATGACAAGCTCGTGGACCGTGGCAGAATTGGAGTATTTATGGGATATTCTGAGACAACAAATAAGCAGTTCAAGTTCTATTCGCCAGAGCTTGGATACACCTCAAGGACAAGCCGATTGTCAGTGGACGAATACACCCCTGGAGGGAAAGTTGAACTACGACTGCGAAACATACCAGCTGGACCACAAGGAACGCAGAATACGATGCCAGACCGAAAACCAAGAGGAAGACCTAGGAAGGATCTAGAATTATCTCCTGCCGAACGAATGGAACCAACTCCTACCGAACGAATGGAACCATCTCCTGCAGAACCAATGGAACCATCTCCTACCGAACCAATGGAACCATCTCCTGCAGAACCAATAGAACCAGTTTCCGAGAACCTAATGGAACCATCTTCGGCAGAGCTAACTCATGAACCAGTGAAGCGTCACAGAGGAAGACCAAGGAGGCTAACTACTATTCCTCCTACTGCACCATCTGATGAGCGGGTTCCTAATCTTGTGAACGAAGAGGGGCACGAAGAACCGTGTACCCAGTCTGTACGAGAAAAGGAGATTCCACGATACTTCACTAGACAAGCCAAACGGAAGAGGTCTAACGAAGAGATTGTTGAGGACGAGAGATTTAGCAAGATCGTTAAAGCTATGCTAGCCCAAGTTGGCCTTACAGAAGAGCAAACACGACTATCTGAGAAGGCTTTCGCAGCAACCGAGATCGCAGGAATCCAGATCCCCCAGACACACGAGCAAGCTATCAACGACCCAAAGTATGGAAAGCAATGGAAAGCAGCAATACTTGAAGAGATAATCGCGTTAATAGAGAATCGAACCTGGGAGGAAGTTCCAAAGCCAAAAGACGCGAACATGGTTGATTCAAAGTGGGTTTTTACAGTCAAAACGAATCTCGACGGGACTGTTGAGAGGTTTAAGGCACGCCTTGTGGCAAGAGGTTTTACGCAAGCACACGGAACAGACTACAACGAGACTTTTGCCCCGACAGTCCGCATGGACACCTTACGTCTGTTTATGGCCACTGTCGCAGCGGAAAACCTGGAATGTTTCCACTTTGACATTAAGAATGCATTCACAGAGTCGCACTTGAAGGAAGAGATCTTTCTTAAGCAACCCCAAGGAGTAGAAGTCAAAAAAGGATACGTCCTTAGAGTTCTCCGCAGCTTATACGGACTCAAACAGGCTGCTCGCGACTGGAACTTGTTGATAAAGAAAGAACTTCTGGCATGGGGATTCGTACAAAGCCTCGCAGACCCGTGCATGTTTATCCACAAAGAAAAACAACTCCGTATCCTCGTCTACGTTGATGACATTGCTGCTGCTGCAAAAGATCGAGCTCAAATTGATTGGTTCTACGAGAAGCTTTCTGGAAGATTCAACACCAAGAACCTGGGGGAGATTCATAAGATCCTTGGAGTACGAGTTACGCGAGACAGAAAGCGCCGCACAATCTACCTCGATCAAGAACAGTACCTACACGCAGTACTTGACAAGTTTGGAATGTCTAGCAAACAACACAGAGACAAGAAGATTCCATCTGCAGATTACACTTCATTTAGGCCAGCCACTGACAACGACACCCGAATCGACATCACTGAATACCAGCAAGTGATAGGGAGCCTTATGTTTGCTATGGTTCTTACACGTCCAGACATTGCATTCACCCTCGGAAAGCTAAGCCAATACATGAGCGATCCAGCAGAACACCATGGCCATGCGTTGAAGAACCTGCTACGATATCTAAGGTCGACAGTGACATTGAAGCTACGCTACGGACCAGGGGGAGTACACTCGCAATTTGTCATCTACTCTGATGCTGACTGGGCAAGCGACATGGTAGACCGAAAGAGCGTTTCAGGGAGCACTGCAATGTTCTACGGAGGTCCAATATCATGGTCTAGCAAGAAGCAACGGTCTGTTGCAACGTCAAGCTGCGAATCTGAATACATCGCACTATCAACATGCTGCAAGCAAGGCCAGTGGATTGCTCAAATGTTTAGAGATCTTGGGTTCCCAAAGTACATTGGAAAAGACACCAACAAGGTCCAGATGCTAGGAGACAACCAGGGTGCCATTGCACTTACAAAGAACCCTCACCTTCACGAAAGATCAAAGCACATCGACGTCTGTTATCATTTTATCCGAGACCTAGCAGAACAAGGCAAACTCGATGTGGCCTACGTTCCAACTGCAGACATGGTGGCTGATGGAATGACAAAGCCATTGCAGCGAGTCGCATTCGAGAGATTCAAGAACCAATTAGGAGTTGTCCTTGGACCGGACCTGCCCTGAGGGGGAGTGTTAAGAATATGTTAGGTTCAGTCCAGGTCGGCGAGGTGAGGTTCGTGGAGTAAGCCCGAGCAGAAGGACCGACGCGGAATGATGATCTGTCATGTACGTCCTAAGATCATCATAACAACAAGTAGATAGAACAATAGCTCTTAGTGAAGTTCAATCCAATACAGGGTTACCTTTCGTACCTCTACTCGGTCGCCTATGGTAGTCATACCACCAGAGGAGACCTTGTTCTAACAAATAGAAGTAATAAATAGAGAAAGATAAGAAGAGTCATAATCTAGTTGTGTAACTAACGTGTAAGGTGCCTAGGGATCATCAACACTATGATCTTAAAACGCTAGGCTTATAACTATAGTTGTTAGGATAGCCCTGATTTGATTCGTTTGAGAGTAGGATTATTAATTACTCTAAGGATCAGAAAAATCAAACGGCTAGTCCGGTATTTGTACATGATGGATCAGTTCCTTGGCACGGATCCGGAGTCTCAAAGACCCGATCCGATCACGTGATCAGCCACGTGTTCATCCGATGTTCAACATCAAGTTCATTTCCGCGACATTAAGAAAGTAGTTAATAAGTATGACTTAGACTATAAGTCTAGAGGGAGATATCTAGTAGTTCTACTTGTAGAGAACTCCCTACTGTAAGAGGCTACGCTCAAGGAGCAATCGCACAAGTATACTGCAGTTGTATTGACAGAGAGCTAAGCTAAGGCTACGTGGCTATCTATATATACCTAAGGGATTGTAGGCGGAGAAACGATATTGCGGTCGTCTGATCCGCAATCGGGCCGGGGAAGAGATAACCGAGGTTATCAACGAGGAACAAGAGAGAGAAGGGCTCTAGCCCATTACACCTGCCCCAGACTAGAGAGGATACAAATCACCAGCATACTTAGCTGTACTAGCAGCTAGTCGGATCGCTGGCGTACATCTCGACATTCACGAGACCAGATGTGGCACGAGCCCACTCAGTATCAGCCCGGCATCTCCAGAACCTCAGGCAGAAGCATGTATCGGCGGTAAAGCATGTCTAGCAATATCTATATAGAATAAGACATCTAGCGATTAGAGCTAGTTAGCAGATAGTAAAGAACTTATCCTACATCTAGGATAAGTCTCTCTTCTATAGAGCATCTAACTTTACTGCCAAAAAGGAGAGAAAAGAGAGAACGCTACAGCTACCAGACAACTCAATAGTGGAACCAAAGGATACTATCAAGTGGCTTGGCATATACCTAGACAACCGACTATCCTTCAAAGAACACGTCGCCACACGGGTTAGCCAAGCAAGACTAGCCTTCTACAGACTCGGAAGACTCGCAAATATAGAGAAAGGACTATCCCCACAAGCTATTAGACAGCTATACCTAGCCTGCGTGACTAGCGTCGCTGACTACGGGTCACAAATCTACTGGAAAGGCCAGAGCTACATCACTAGCCTACTCCAATCACTACACAACATAGCGTGCAGGAAAATACTAGGAGTCTTCAGAACATCACCTGCCCTCCTAACAAGCATCGAAGCCGGGCTTACCTCTCTAGCAATCCGGCTAAACTTAACTACCCGGAAATACGCAATTAGAGCCAGCCAGCTAGCTAAAACCCATCCAATCTAGGTAGCTATCACTAGAATCTAATCAACAACACCAGCAAGCCACAGGAAGCCAAAACAATATAGACAGCTACAATCTATTGCAAACGCAATCCCAACTAGCGACAAGAGGATAGAAACAATCACTCCATACAAGTTTAGGCTATGGGACTGCCTTAACTACACTGTTACAATCTCAAAGAAAACAAAGGAAGAGGAAGCTGCTGCCCACACAAACTATATCTAATCAAAAACAGGAGACAACAGCTTTATAGCAATCTACTCAGATGCGTCACAAATCCTAGAAGGGAAAGGAATAGGGGTAGGAGTTGCAGCCTACAACTCAACCCAACAAGAGACCTACACAGAAAAGACGAATATAGGAGAAACCTAGCTAGTCTACAATGGCGAGCTAGAAGGCATAGCTAAAGCGTTTGAGTACGCAGCTAGAATAGCAGGAAAAGACCAAGAGATCAACGTATACGCAGACAACCAAGCTGCAATCTATAGGCTCAAAACCCTATCAGACAACCCAGGACAACGATGGCTACTAAGATGCCTTAGAGCGGCAAAAACCATCAAAACAAAACAAGCCAACATTCACCTCCAGTGGGCACCCGGCCATACAGACATACAAGGAAATGAAAGAGCCAATAGCTTAGCTAAGGAGGCAGCTAAAGAAGACCCAACAACGCCCACAATAACAAGCCTCGCCTACCAAAGCACAGAAATTAAGAAATCCCAAAAAACAGAACAACAACAAGAATACCAAAAATACAGGAATAATAGCAACAAAAATAGACTACCCTACGCAAGGACCTTCCCGCTAAACACAAAAACAAATATCAAAAACCCACAAAAAACAAAAAGAGAAATCGCAAGCGCCTTCTACTCCCTTAAGCTAGGACAGGGATACTTCAACTCCTACTTAGAAAGATTTAAGAAAAGAGACTCAAATCTCTGTACTGGTAGCTGCTACAAAACCCAAACTCCAGCACACCTACTACTAGAATGCCGGCACTATAAAACAGAACGAAAAGAACTCAAACAAGCCATCAAACATACCCCAGTAACCCTAACCCTACTATTCCAAACCAGCACCGGCATAGAAGCTACCCTAGCTTTTATTACGTGTACTAGGATTGGAACAAGAAAATGGCACCTAGGGCAACCACCAGAAATACAGACAGTCACTGTATAGCACTACCTTAGAGAGAGCTACTCTATAAAACTAACAAAACTGTATTTCTTACTATAAGAGCCCGCTGCTACATATCTTTCTATCTACCACACTGCTCTTTAGCACTAGCGCCTACTCCAGATCTACTCTAGAATAGGAGCACGCAAAACATCCTCCAACCTGTACTACCCCAAAGAAACTACTCATAGAAAACACCTATATAGAACGGCCTACGCCAAAGTCTTGCATAGTCTCTGACTGAAAAGGACTCTAAATGGAATAATAATAATAATAATAATAATAATAATATAGAGCATCTAATGCAGCATTTGCTAATAATATCAAAAGTCGTAATTATCTTAACTATAGATAACATGGTTGGCAAGCGAGCGGCGCACCCCACTTACTTTACTCACCTTACTAATCTCAGTCTACAATGGCTCAACGCAGCGCTACTTAGTTACTATCAAAAAAAGCAGATATTTAGCTTGCTATCTCATCTGTTAATTCGCACTAGATCTAAGGTACTCGTACTGCTGCAGCAGTCTACAACGTAGCCGAAACAACGCTTCGCTGCCGACGCGCTGGTAAACCTACCTAACGCGATTACTAGCCTAACTTAAGGAAGCTTACCTAGAGAGAAGAGGAGGTGATTTTTAGCTATATACTCTACCTAGATTAGCGTAGGTTTGCGCCTACCTACGCAGCTACACGCAATATAGCTAATAAGCTGCTAGCTATACGCGGCGCTAGCTAGGTTAGGTAGAAGTAGCTAGCTAAGTTAATTAAGCGTATAGATAGTCTTTAGACGTGTTTTAACTAAGCGTATAATAGGTAGAGAGCTCCATATAAAGATGCGATATTAATAAAGAGGTAGTTTAGGCTTATAGAAGAGATGAAGGCTAAGTAGAGTATCTATAATAAGGAAGTCTATAACTTTAATAAAGCTGGCTTTATAATAAGTAAGATTATAACGTAGCTAGTTATAATAAGAGTAGAGAAGAGAGGCAGGCTAAAGAGTATTTAGCTAGGTAATTATAAGTAGGTAACGCTAATCGCTGCTATTAGCGCTGCTAGCTAGTTAGTGCTACTATTCCTTATCTTCACTAGCTAGTACCACCTATTAGCGTGGTATAAGGAGGATATCCTACGTAACTAGGCAATCGTAGTTAGCGATAATAGCTAGACAAATAATAAGCTTAGAGTTAAGTAGCTAAAGCACTTTAACGCTTATACGTAGGCTCGTAGTATAGGCCCGCGTCGCCTACTTATCATTAATAGCTATGAGAGCTACTAATCTCTAGAGTCTTAGGAACTTTATAAGGAGAATAATATCTATACGCTCTATATACCTCCTTACTTATCTTACCTACTCTAGCTACTAAATATTAGCTACTTCTCGCTATTAAAGCGTGCGTACAGCTAAAAGGTAGAGAGCCTTATACATGACTATATTAACTATATTACTAAGCTAGAGTTTCTGCTAGCATTTAAGATAGCATTTAAGATAGCATTTAATCGCGCCTTTACGCTAGCTAACATCTACTTAGCCTTCTACAGCGTAAGCCTTGTTCCTGTATAACTAGAGGCTATTCTATTAAAGCTAGATATATAGCTGCGTACACCTACTTCTTCTCTAGCAGCAGCTCTGCTAGAGGCTCCCTAGGTAGCTTAAACGCCGAGTAACGCGCGTGAATTTAAGGCTTAGTAAAGCCTAACACGTAAGCGCGTGCGCTAGCATAAGAGCTTATTACAAGTATTAATTATTACAAGTATTAATTATTACAAGTATTAATTATTAAGGCGATTAACTAGCTAAAGAAGGGCGCTAAGGTAATAATGCTCTCTACTAAGCTAATGCGCGATTAGATCTCTAGTCTTAAGAAGGCCAACAGCGCAGCCTCAGCGCGTAGGCATTGCTCTAAAAGGCGTATATAGAAGCATAGAGTACTCACAAAGGGAGCTAGAGAGGATATACTGGCTCAAAATGAGGCTGACCAGCAGATTGCTCATGAAGAGCGTCAAGGAGGAGCGCGATCAGGCGTCAGCCAGCGGGCTCAAAGGCGCTGCACCAGGTGCAAGGAGACTGGGTACAGCTCACGCACATGCAACACTAATACTATTAATATAGAGCAATCTACTGTATTAATATCTAGCAATAGTATTATCGCGTTGTTGAGATGCGTCGCTTTGAAGTTGCAAAAGTTTGGTTAGGTGGCGGCTCGCTTGTACTGGCGGCTCGCTTATAAAACATGTTATTAATATTTAGTAATACTATTATCGCATTGTTAAGATATATCGCTTTGAAGTTGCAAAAGCTGTTAGGGTGCACCGCTCGCTTGCCAACCATGTTATTGTCAGGCCTACGCAATGCGAGGTGTACAATATATACTATTTTACCACGATGATCAGGAGTTCACTGATCATACGTACCTTCTTGGTTGCATAGCGTAGTGGGTGTAGACCTGCGTTCTGACAGTTATCTGTTTAAGCTCTACAAGATGCCTATTAACTAGAATGCTACCTACTAGAGATCTGTTACGAAGTCGACAACTAAGGCTAAGCTAATAGCTTTATTAGCAACTAGAGGAGAGATAGAATGATAAATCTAGGTTTTCTAGTACATTTAGTTCAACCTAGAGATCTAACTAACAATCTACCACGATAATAAGCAGATAGTTAGGATTGTAAGAAAGAAGACGAATGGCTTTACACAGAGCTAAGACATGTAGACACCTATTAGATGTAGGTAAGACAGGGCGTATAGGAAGGAAGGCTCTGTGTATAGTGGTGCCGTATAGTAGAGATGCCTATAGATAGACTTATAAAGTCTCTCGTAAGGCAGAAACACGCTAAGTTTGTAAGATAGCTAGGGCTTAAAAATGCTCGCTAGCTTCTTACTACTTGGGTAGACACACTAGAGCTAACTAAGCTATAGCACTAGCACTAGTTAGCTTTATTAATTACAGCAGCTTGGGGGGAGTGTAATAGTTTAGGCCTTGCTAAGATCTACTTAAGTGAGAGTTAGGTACAGCTATTACTACTATACTTTCTCATAACACACACCTATATAGCTGCAGTTCCTCTATAGCTACACAATGCAACGCAGTCCTCCTCTCCTCACCCCGTTACATATGCAGCTTCTCGTAATATCCGTCCCCAATCAGCAAAACAAGTAAGTCGCGCAGAACACAACTTCTATGTTCGTCGCACCCCCTTGTACAAGTCAGACTCCGTCTCGCTGCTATATTGTACAGCGTCTTCATGGCTAGCATCGTCCTCGTCACGAATGTGTGTGTTAACCCACCCGCCTTTGTGCAGTGCGAACTCTTGAACGGTGATGTAGCCGAAGCCCTGAAGATACCTAAAGATGCCAGAAGCGATTCGCTCACAACAGCAAAACTTTTCGAGTAGCTGATACAGATTGTTGCAAGACACCGTGCTCAACATCCACAACTACTCGTCGCATAAACACCTCCTGACTCTACCTCTGCCGGGTTACCGCCGGCCGGCCCACCGCCCAACGTTTCGTCTTCTCCTTCATTTATCCCCAACCCTATGTATTCCCCTTCTACCCGCGATTTCTTAGTTTCATCAGGAAATCGAACTGATATCAGGCCTTTAAACGTTCACAACAGCTTTCGACGAGGAAGCATGGACATTTCAACTTTATTCCCAAATCTTGTACTAAATCAGGACCCAGAGCTTACTTATACCGGAGAAGGAATTGTCTAGCAGGATGTCTTTCTGAATTAATACATTTGTCCTTTCTCTAGAGAACTCCTGTGATACAAAACCAAACAGGATTTCTTAGGGAGGAAATAGAGCATTCATTTTTTTAGTATAAACCATCACGCTCCTTTGAATAGAAGAGAAATGCTGCATGGTAGACAGTGGTGAGCGTGTGGGGGTGCTCTCGCCCGAGCGCCTTCTCCCCGATGTCTAGAGATGATGGAGAAAGCTATTCCGCTGCCGCGGCCTCGCCTCTTAGACGAATGTAGCAAATTGCAACAAGTGCAATCTTTGCTTGATTTATTACAATTCCCCTTAACTGGTGGCCGTTTTTAATTGCGGAAGCAGCACTTTGCATTCCTACTACCGTCTGGTAGTCCCCGCTCGGAAAGGCTGCGCTTAGCGCTTATATCGATTCCTTCACCCACAGTTAACTAGCACGTTCTCCGCCTCTAGCCATAGACTCATCAACCGCTGCGCGAGCCTGAGCATCGTCAATGCCTGATTTCCGACCTCCGTCTTCACGAAAGAGAAGCTGAGCAACAGCGTCAGAGTGTCGTCAAGGTCCAGAGACCTAGGTAGCCAGTGAATAATCAGCGCAAGCAGATCGTCGGCCGACCGGTCCGACTCCCGGATTGCTTGCGTGTACCTACTAGCACATGCGTGTCCTCCGTTTGTGAACTACTAGTTAAAGTAGGTTACGCGCGAACGGTGCTTACCTAACACCTCTAAGTCTAACTATTTAGAGCTACATATGCGCATGTGTGTTATCACGGCTGTTCTGCGGTCGCTGTTCTTAGCGGTAGCGGGCTCTCGACTACACAACGAATTAGTCGTCCCTTGCAGAGGAGACTATAAAGAGGGCACTACTAACATCCTAGCCGTGCTGCGAGATGCTGTTCTTGTTGTTGACCTTAAGGATCCCGCTCATGACGTCCGCATTGTAGCCGTGCGTCTATATGCAAGCCTAAGGCATGTCCGCTGCGCGATGGTCTTCTGGCTAGAAGGAGGTGTAAGACGCAGCGCTTGAGTGAGTCTGTGCTTATTCTGCGCTTATACATGGCAACTCGGCCGATGGTCCATTGAGGAAGTACTGAAAGCCCTTAGACTTCTTAGTCGTATCGCCGGTGCCGTTGCGCGCGCCCGTTGCCGCCGTCTCCCAGTTTCCTCGAGGGGGGCCCCGGAGGCTTTGGACGAAAACGATGCTGTCGACGGCGGGTATTCAACTGCAGCACTCGTGCTTCTATAACCCCATATTCTATCTTTCTACAGTGGCTGTATTTTTGGCGGCAAGTTTCGGTGGTGCTTCTTCCAGTTCCTGAAAGCTAATTACGCTTGCCTTCCAAACAACGGATCTTGTTGATCTTCGTCTATTAACTTCACTATAGACCTTGAGAAGACACCGTGTTAATAATGAATGTTCTAGTGAAACAATTAATATATATTAACGTCGTATCTATAATTAGTAAAATTAGTAGGTACTATTAACTTATATCTACGATTTCTATTTAGCTAAGTTATACAGTGATCCGAAAAGATCAAAATGTTAAGTAATGAATCCTCCAGCGGTCTTGGCGTACATTGGTCTGGTCGTAAGCCGGTCCTGTTCTGCATGGGTACGATGTTGGATGACCTGCCTCGCTGAGCGCTCGGTAATTTTGTCTGCGGATCAAGTTCAGGACAATGTCATCAGCCTGAGAACGACATTTCTGTCTTCACACGTGTACTTGATACGCATTTAGGGCCTGTCGACTTGCGTTTGAGATATCGTAATGCGACTCTGAGGCGTATCGAGGTTCGGCGAGGAAGTCTTCGATAGCCAGAGAATGTTGACATACATAAAAGACTGGCTTCATTCAGGGCAAACATAATCAAATCAGACACGCGTGTGCTTACTAGACAGGCAAGCGAGTCGACGACATAATTAATGGATGTTAGTGCTGATGTCAGCTCAGAGGTTCAAGAACAAATATATACACGTCTTAAGGGCCTTGAGTATCTCAATCCGAAACCAACAAGTCCTCATTATATTTACGTCTGCCTATTCTCAAAATTCGATCTTCAAACGAGTCACATATCATTCACCACTCAAAATGAAATCACTCCTCCTTATTCTCCTTCCCGTCGCCGTAACAGCCAGATTTTGCAATGCTGGATGGGACAGTGGCGGCTTCTGTGAAGAGGAGAAAGGACTGCGAACATCTTGCGTAACATATGCTTAACTCTCTTCATAACTTAATCTTCTAACCTTATATCCTAGTGTTCAGACTGGCAATCCGATTTCTTTTACTGGGAGGATAAAAGCAATGGCGTTTTTGCATCAAATGGGAAAGGGGAGCTTAGATGTGGCCCTCCGGAAGCTCCTCTGAGAGGTGCTATTGTATGTACACCACCTGCAAATGCACCCCCACCACCACCAGGAACATTCCCAGAAAAGAAAGTACCCCCGCCATCAGGAACATAGGTGTAAGCTTTCTTCTATGCTCTATACTTCTTATAGACACTAAGATTACTAGTGGATTTTCTCTGGTAGGATCTATAATATAATAGGAATAGAATTGTCAAATATTCACTCTTATCTGGAATAGTTCCTGATGAAATGGGTAATACTCTTAATAATATTGAATGATTGATTGTGTTGTTGTTCTATCTACGGTTGTGGGCTCACCTAGGGGGTGCCAAGCTTTCCTGTGATCTGATTGGCTCTCACAGATGCTGGGTCGCACTGGTCTGACCCGGCGTCTGTACGCTCTTATCTCTAACAAGACTATTATCTAACACACCCCTTTAGCTTAGACGCTCTTCACGCTTATAAGCTAGGCACTTAGTCCTACTTAAGGTTTATGTAACAAATAACAGGAAGGATTCTCTCCTTGATGGTGGGCGCAAGGTTGAAGGTCAACAAGCCCACGTCAAAAGGTAACGATCGGCGTGGGGCGCGCAGATCACGTGACTGACATCCCGCCAAGGCCAACCATCCGAGGGATGGCAAGGCGCCTAGGGATGGCAGCCATCACGAACATCATTGACATCCTAGGGATGTAAGGGATAGTTAGGATAGTACTCGATAAAGCAACGAGTATATAGCTGTAGAGGATTTCCTTAATACACTCGTTATAGTTAACTTTAAATAGTTTATCTCTTACCTAGATTAATACTAGTTATTCTATCGTTTACATAGGATTGGATTGATCTTCTAAATACCTACTATCCCACCTAGTAGCCAGACAACCCACGCGGAACCAACAACATAAGACTCGCCTGCCTTAGTGCGGACCAGGAAAGAGCAGTATAACCCCTCCATGTAACAGTTCACTACGAGATTTTTAAGTTTCTCTTGAATTTCTTTAAGCGGTGCTAAGTTTCTCGCTAGGATTCTCTAAACGAAGACTAGTCCTAGATTTACTAGGAATAGTAGCCAACGTACCTCACGGGCGAGTGGGCCACTCCGCTAAGACCCCACCAAAACATACTGTTACCTACAGTACTTTTACAATAAGCTAACAATAAAACAATCTACTAGCTTTAAAAGAGGCTCGATTATAGCTTGCTCTTAAGGCTATCGAACGCGACGCGACGCTGTCGCAGAGACGCGCTGCAGCTATCTACAAAGTATCTCGAGTAACTCTTAGGCGCCGACGCGCTGGAATACCTCTTCGGAGCGATTGTACGCCTAACTTAATAAACCCTCTTAAGATAGAGGAGGATGTAATTGTCTAGCATATCCTTAACCTTAACGCGCGAAGATTTCCGCCCCGACTTACTGCTGTGCAGGATATAGCTAATTCTTTATTAGCTGAGCGCTACCGCGACCTTGTTAGGTAGAACTAGGCTGCAGCTTTCGTTAAACGTCGCCCTAAGCTTAAGGTTAAATTTGATCGTAAGTATAACTATAAGCGAGCCCTCTATAAGGATCCTAAAGTTATATAAGGCTAGTTCTAACTTATAGAGAATATAAAGGCTAAGTATAACGTGGATCACAAGCGAGTCGCCACCCTAACCAAGTCGCCACCCTAACACAATCGCTGCGTCTAAGCAGCAACTTTATGTAATGCCGCAACTACATTAATTGCAAAAGTCCTATACTAAGGGTAATTTATAGCTTGCTATCTTAGATATTAATTTATATTAATTTTAAAGCAATAAACGCGCCGCAGCTGCCTATAACGTCCCCTAAAGAACGCTTGTTAACTAACGCGCTAGACGACGCCCTTAACGCGATTATGAGCTAAATACAAAGCGCCTTACAAAGCTAAAAGAGGAGGTAATTATACAGCGTATACGCGACGAGTCTTTCTATAGAATACTACCCTCGAAGGCACACGTACGAGATATAGCTAATAGACTACTACGCGATCGCGGCGGCGAGCCTATAGGTAAGAACTAGGTTAATAACTTTATACGACGTACACCTAAGCTACGCACGCGCTAGAGCCGTCTATACAATCGCTAGCGAGCTCTCTACGAGGATCTAGCAGTTATTAGGCCCTAGTTTACCCTAGTTTAATTAATAAAGGTAAAATATAGTATTATAGATAAGGACACGTAGAACTTTAGTAAGTTAGGCTTTAAAATAGGCAAGATATCTTCTTAGCTTATAGTTATAGGCTTAGAGAAACCTAGGAAATAGAAGAAACTACAGCCTAGCGATCGCAAGTAGGTAACTCTAGTCTAAGGCGTCTCTGCAATAGGGCGCGTTATCCCGCCCTTCCTTATCTTTGTAGGTAAGGTCCTTATTACCTCCTAGTTCGCAAATCTGCATCGCAATTAGATTATTACTATCTCTTCTACTAGCTAGATTAATAATAACCTCGCGCTAGCCTAGCTTAAGCACTTTAACGCCTATATAAAGGCGTCTTCTGCTAAGGCGTATAGGCTACTTATTATTAACGGCTATAAGAGCTACTACTTAAAAGAATTCTAGGACTACTATAAGAGAAACAAGATTATTACTCTCTATATACTACCTTACTTATCGCACCTCCTACAGCCTTTTAACGTTATCCCCTACTCGCTATTAAAGCGTACGTACGGCGATAAGATCTCGCTTTTAGCACGCAGCCGCATCTACTATATTAATAAGGAAACGTTCTTACTAGCCTTTAAAGTAGCTTATAAGAAGACGTTTACACTAAAGAATATTTACTCTAGGTTTTAAGGCGCTAAGCTAGTCTTATATAACCTAGAGGCTGTGTTATTAAAGCTAGATATATAGCTACGTACGCTAACACCACCTATACTAGGCATTATCGCCTAAGAGGCGCAAACACCGCGCAACGCCTGCGAGGTAGAGGCGTAATCTACGCTAATTTAAAATCGTATGCAAAACTACTAGGGGTTACTAGCAAGCTTATTAGATAAGCAGGTTAAGTAGCTAAGTAAAGGCGCTTAGTAGATAGCTTATAATATAGTGTTAGTGTAGAAGGAAATAGGCCGCCTTTAAGACGCTGTTAATACGCTTATAAAGCGCAAGACCTATAAAATACGCTACGTATAGATAAAGGAGGTATTAATAGTTAGTAAGGTATCTAACCCAATTGCTAAAAGGGAGGGTAGTAGTTATAAGGGGGGTAAGGAGCCTGCGAAGAGGGTGCGCGTAGGGCGACGCTGCGGCCGTTGTGGCGAGATTAGACACAACTTCCGCACCTGCAAGGTAGAAATTAAGGATGCAGATAATAGCGACGCTTCTAAATAATCTTATAGTATTGCGTATAGTATAGCAATTTACTGTGGTGTTGCGTAAAGTTGCTGCGCAGGCGCGGCGATTGTGTTAGAGTGGCGACTCGGTTGAGGTGGCGACTCGCTTGTGAACCACGTTAGGATTAAGGTATAAGGACTAATTAAGTAGTTCCTTAGGGGTAAAGTTATTTAAGACTAAGTCACTTAGACGATTACCCTACTCTATAATATATATAAGATGAATAGCCTGTTTTATTAGTGAGCGCCCCACGAACACTAGCGAAGCGCATACGCGACACTCAACACGTAATATCTTAATAACTATAACCTTATAAGCCCTATACTAAAGCTAACGTGCAACTTACCCTCTCTAACATTGAATATAACTAGATTACGAGCCTACGACGTACTAAGGTAGTCTACAGCGTTCCTTATAGGACGATACAACAACGACGTAATAGGAAGCCCTCTAGACGCGCCTGCGAGCCTAGATTAAAGCGCCTAATAAAGCTAGAAGAGGAGGTAATTCTATAGCGTATACTTAACGAGAACCTACGTAGAGTACCGCCCTTAAAGCTATACGTATAAGATACAGCTAATAGACTTCTACGCGACTGCGGCGGTAAGCCTATTAGTAAATACTAGGTTAATAAGTTTATTAAGTACACACCTAAGCTGCGCACGCGCTACACTTATCTATAAAATTACTAGTAAGCTCTCTACAAAGACCTAGCGATTATTAAGCCCTAGTTTACGCTAGTTTAAAATATAAAGGCGAAGTACAGTATTATATAAAACGATATATATAACTTTAAAAAGTCTAACTTCTTTATAGGTATGGAGAAAACTAGGAAAGCGAAGAAGCTTTAGCCTAGTAATCGCGTGTAGACTATATTAATATAGGGCGTTAGCGTAATAGGGTGTGTTATACTACTCTTCTTTATCTTTACTAGTAAGGTTCTAATCTCTAACTAGTTTACTAAGGACTTCCTACGTAACTAGGTTATTTAAGTAATCCTACAGGCTAGACGAATAATAATCTAGCGCTTACCCAGCTTTATTACTTTAATATATATGCGAGGCCTATAGGAGCGTAAAGGCTGCTAACTATTAATAGCTATAAGAGCTATTACTTAATAGATTTCTAAAATCGCTATAAGGATAAGAAGATTATTACTCTCTATATAACTCTATACTTATCGCACCTCCTATAGCTACTTAACGTTGCCTATTTCTCGCTATT